ATTATGATTAAAAAAGCCATTATTATTCAAAGAATAACATAAATTTACTGGAAAAATGCACAAAACTTGCTTACTCTGATTTGTCAATGAGTGTGAAAGGGATGAGGTTATCTTTGTACAAGTATTTAAGTTTAGCAGTTTAAAATCAAACTTTAAAAACAAAATAAAACTATTTATTAATCTAATGATCTCTATAAATGAATAGGTCATTGGAAATTACAGCTTTTTAATGGCAAAAATAGGCACCAAGTACCACTGTCTAGAGCGTAGGTGGCTTAAACACTTGACTTGTAATCTAATACCGCCGCGTATCAATGGGATTTTCGATTTTTTGGATCTTCTTGTGTACATAATTTACCAGACGTTCTTACGGTGAAGGAAAACATCGTGATGCAACCTGCACATATCGGCGAAGAAATTCATAGATGTGTATGAAGTCAACCCGCAGTGGGCCAGCGTGGTTGACTATGGCCTAGTCACTCGAGTCGAGTCCGAGTCGGCCTGTCTCTGAGCCCCTCGGTAGGAACGTATAGTGAGCTGGTGATGATGACCACTGTTTATAGCCTGTCCATTTATAGCGATCTCTAAATTAGTCTCCTTAAAGGTATATTAGAGATAAAACTACGTTATATTTTAATTATTTACATAAGTTTAACAATAACAAAGAAGTTATTCTCAAGTTATAAAAACACATTCCTGTATGGAGATCTTACACGTCGTGGGAGAGAATTGTTATTGTATTAAACAAAAGGTCGTACGGAAGTTTTATAGTAAAGTTAAAATATACCCGTGCGAAATATTTAAATCTTCACTATAATGTAAATATATAAATTTATTTAAACTATATTTTTACTAAAATGAATAACCAAATACATATCTCATATCAATCATTTGATCATTCAAAATAATTATTATAGCCTGTCCATTGACCGAAATCAGTGGCCGCGACTCACACAGGTTCAGCTTTACTTGCCCGATGGTTTTTTAACCGTCTCTTCAAGTGCCTAAGGTTAACAAGTAATTTCACATACAAAAGGGGTCTTGAGTACTACTGCAATAAAAAACCCATTCACAACGAACAAACCTTGAACTTCAAGGTGGACTGGTCTGAGCGGCATTACGTTGTGGCCACACGTAACACTGAATAAAACTTTAATAGTTGACAAATACACCTTGTACTACAATGACAATTGTTTAAACGCCAAATCTAGTAATAACAACGAAGTAATGGCTCGTACCGAGGCTCCTGAGGGAGCTTAGTTACTCATAAACGAGGTTTAGGCTAAGCGCCATCTACGCTCGGCCACCTCAAGCCCGGTGATTGTAAATGCCTCTTTAAAGCAAACAGTAACCATTCAGTCACAAAAAAAAAGTTTAAACGCGCTGGGTTTCAGTTACTTTTATAATCGAAAATAACTATGGAATTTACCTTTTAATGAGAAACTTATTTACACATATAATACAGACAATTGTTGAATTTTCATTATTAAAATACCACACATTTTCATCCCTTAACC